TCTTGTCCAAATGCCACAGTGCTTGTCAAAGCCAGTTCTGATTAATCTTCTTTGTCAGTGTGTCCTTTGCCATTCCCTATCACTCCTCCCTGAGAGAGACTTCACCCTGAGTCATAAGGAAAAGGGGATGGCGTATTCTCTTAGCTACTTCCTGCTGAAAAGGGACGCTGAGCATTTTTAATGTAAGATATTAAATTTAGTTCAGTTCAGCAATTGTGTTAATATATTTTCTGTACGTAGCACATACAGATGAATAAGGGAGGTTGTCTGGATTCTGAGAAGAATCTTACAGAAGGGAGTATATGACATATTTCCAAGTAACCAATGTTCAGATAAAATCCTTGGAGAACAAGGAGCCTGGCAGGTGGTAAGGGCTCTGTGAACGTTTGCTGAATAAGAAGCAGAGTTGGGCAGGCTGGATGAGTTCAGCTCTGTTAAAAAGGAGAGGTTATGTGAAGAAGTATGTGTAGATAGGTCTTTGGAACAGGCACCATCTCTGCAAACAGTTTTTTAAAAAATATTATAGAACATTAAATAAAAATGTCTACTCATTTGACCTCCACTGTTCTGATGTAGTAGAATCATACCTTCTCTAGAAGTTCAGGTCTGAAATCAACGTACAAGGCTGATGGATAGTTCAAATGCCCTTCAGACGCCATTTAAGTCACTGGAACCTAAATCTTGTAAACCACAAGCCAAGAACCTACTTGTTTTTGTTTGTCTCAGCATTTAAGTTGAGGCTTCCTTTGCTGGGGCCCGAGATTTGGTTTTAAGAGAGGAGGAGGTGACTAAGCAGGCCAGGAAAGACATTTTTCTGTCGTGTCAAGGTGAAATTCTTACCACGTTGATGCCCACATGCTCCTTCTCTGCTGTACTCTCATTTCTCTGTATTTGTAACATGAATGGAGTAAAGTGGGAGAATCCATTGTCATGTAGTCAACGACTTACTGAGCAGATATTCCAGTTATTGAGGCAGAGAGAGCGGCAGGACGAAAAGCAGATGAAATGGAGGTGCGTAGATATTTAGGGAGATGAGAGTTGGTAAATTAATTGGGTCTAGAATATGTGCAGAGAGGCAGTGGTTTGCAGGTATGAGCCAAAGGGGTAGACTCATGCTATGGAGGTTCAGATGTGGATTGTGTTCTTAATTCAGTGGGTGACGGGGAAAGCCATGGAGAGTGTTTTGGTGCTGTATCAGCCTTCACTTGGGTTGGGAGATTATTATAATTTTGCCTAGAGGCAGTGAGAACCAGGATGAAGATATTGTTCATAAGACTTGCTCTTTTATTCAACCATAGGTATTTATGAAGGGCCTACTGTACACAGACCTGGGAGTGAGAAGAATTGAGGAGATGCTAAAGAGGGAACCTAGAGGACATTTAGGAGCCCTCAGAGTAGAAAGAGGAGTTCAGGGTAATGCCCAGTTAACATGCCCAGCTACTCACTTAAAGGCTGTAGGTTTGAATACACCCAAAGACACCTTGGAGGAAAGGCCTCATGATCTCCTTCCAGAAAAATCCTTGAAAACTTTATGGAGCACATTTCTACCCTGATTCTCATGAACACAACCTGAGTGGGAGTGAAGTCCATGGAAGGGAAGAGGGAGGGGTAGAAATCAGAACATTTTAAGTGACGTGACTGAAAGACTGAATGATAGAAGTGGAGTAGCAGAGACAGGAACAGCAAAATAAGGGGGAGCAGCTGGAGCAGAGTGTGCAGCTGTGTGTACATATATATCAGCAGAGGAAGGCAGAGAGGGAGATGACTTAGGTTATGATGCCACAGAGACACCACGTAGAGCCGTGTACAATGTGGCCCTCAGTCCATTTGGTCTACACTCTATGAGAGGAAGCTTGGGGCCAGATCAGGAAAGAGCTGGGATCTGATATACAAGTGAGTAGGGCTTACCCAGGCCAGTATGTAGGGGGAAGGAAGGGAGGTACTCTGGCCGTTGGTGTATGGCTGAGGTGGACCACCTTTTCCACATTCTGACCACTGATAGGTCAATCAAATCACTGTGTCTCTAGCATTTCTCATGATAACTTTTTGCAGCCTTTGAAAAAGTGCTACATTAGATGACTGTAAAAGTTAAGCCATGAAGGAATGAATGGTTAGTAATAATTAAAGAGTCAGCCTTGGTTTAGGAGACAGAAGAGAGCCCCCACAGGAAGCTTAATAACGTTTGAAATTGCACAGGTCAGTCAGTTGGTAAAATGGCCTGTTAGGAAGCAATCTTCTGCATCTGATTCCCTGTGGCAGTTACGTAGCAGTAGCATTCAACAGTCTGTCAGTGTGGCTGTTGCTAGATGTCACTGAGTCAGTGTCAAGCCCTACCAATCCCAAGCATTACAGAGAGAGCTGCCCATAAGGTTTTCTAGGCTGTAACCTTTGCAGGAGCAGATTGCTAGATCTTTCTCCAGCAGAGTCACTGGGTGGATAGGAACCATCCACATTTGCACTGTTAGAAAATAGAGTTTAGAAGACAGTTAAGATTCATTTGCGAGATGAGGATATACGTTGAAAGGTGGTAAAAAGCATACAAACCTGGGTTGAGATTTGCCACTTTTGAGTTATGTGGGTAAATTATTAATCTCTCTAAGCCTCTGTCTCCTCAGATGTCAGAAGGAATATTGAATAATATAGTTCATGAGTATGTATGTGTGCACAAGTGCATGTATGTACATGTATATGTTTTTCTTAGGTGCTAATGAGTGGGAGCTCTGCTGGCCTAGTGATAAGGAGCTGTGCTGCCAACCCAAAGGCACATGGTTCGAATCCACCAGCTGCTCTGTGGAAGACAGATGGTCCGTCTCCTTCCGTGTGATATACTGCCTCTAAAAATATGGCTGGAGGGTCAACTCTGAATCATTTTGGAGTCCATGGTACGCAGCAACAACAGGAGCGAATGAGTTCAAACTGATAGAGACCCCAGATGCAATAGTATGAAACATTGTGTATATTTATATGGAAACACATGTGAGTATATCTGTCAAGCAGACACTAGTTAATTGTTCATCTTAGCAAGAACACTATGAACTGGTTACCACAATTATCCAAGTTTTTACAGATGAGGCATCAGAGAGGTTAAGTAATCTTCCCATGGTTACACACCAAGCAAATGGCAGAGCCAGGATTTGAACTACAGTCCTGGTTTTTCCTCCTGCTCTTTCTTGCCTCACAATTTATTGTTCAAGCTCATGTGTAACACAGGTGAGTGGTCTCTTACCCATTGTGCTCAAAATGGAGTGAGGGCTCTAAGCACTACTGCTTATTTGCCAGTGTTACAAGGACCACTTAGATTTAACTACACAACACTGAGTTCTTGATAGCCCGAGGAGGGGTGATCTCAGTATAGGTTCAGCCAGTTCAAATCTGTCCTCCTCACTCAGTGAACTTAGTTGTCCTTATCTGCACTCAAGTTGTTAAACCGAAAATCTATGTATGTAAACTCTTGCTTGTATGAGTGCATTTAGGTGGTATCTGTTCCACATTCAGTTGTTGCTAGAGAGACAGTATGATGTGTGAGGTCAGGAAACAGGATGTCTCCCATTTTGTGACCTCTGCTCTTGTGTCTGTGAGATGCAGAGTCTGGGTATTGTCTCAGGACTGGCACAGCTCTGCTCTCGCCCCAGTCTGTGGCATTTCCCTCAAGTCCACTCTACTGTGATGTGTGCTCTTTGGGGCGGGCGAGGACTGTGTTGGTTTAACTTTACAGAGCACAGTTTCTAGCTTCTCTGGCAATTGAATGCTTTGAATATGAGATTTAAAGGAATTAGGATTTGACTTATTTCCATTTCCTGACCCACTGACTCATTCTTGGAGAAGTAACAATGCTATAAATTTCACTAAGAGTGTAAATCACAGAACAGTTCCTTGACCTCAGCGATTTATAATCTGTATGAGTCATAAATAAAAATAATGTTAAGTAAGATTGAACTATTTGGTCAAAGAGATAGAAATAAATATAGTGTTGGCAAAGGGTTAGAAAATTCTGTTAAAATAGTTATTATTCCTCTTCAGAGTTTTCAACAGCAGGAAAATGTGGCATTTTCTAAAACTTCTCACTCAGTTACTTTTTTTGAGTCAGAACCTACTCATAACGTACTCTTCAACAGGTTTTCAGAGCTTACAAATTATGTGGGGAAAGATTGGCCATCTTTCTGCAACAGAGCAGCTGATAGACTCAAACCACCTGCCTTTGGGTGATAGTATTTAGGTCATAAGAGTTCTTAAAAGCCCTAGTTTATATGAATGCAGTGCATATTTATTGAGTACCTACTAAGCAGTCCTACTTTGAAGACTTTAACCTCTTGAAAAACTAGCAACAAACCTCAATACTGTGCAAAGATCAAAATTCTGGGATTCTGATTGGCTTTTGGTCTTGCGAGGTTTTCTTAGTGAGGCTGTTTAAGGGAGAATGTTGTACAAACAAACTCTTTAAGCATGATCAGAGAGCTCCTTGGAGGCCAAGATGATGAAGCTTCATCACACATTCTTTGGGCATGTTGTTAGGAGGGGCTATTCATTCTTTAGAAAGGGCCATCATGCTTGGAAAGGTGGAGTGTCAGCGAAAAAGCAAGACCTCAGTGAAATGAAGTGACATAAGGATGCACAGTGGGCAGTGTGTCAGAGATGATGAAGATTGCACGGGGTAGGATTCAGATCTGTTTCCACAGGATTGGCTAGGAGTCATATTCAACTTGATGGCACCTAACCACCACAGGAACCTTACAGGATTATTCCTATCCAAAACAACGACTTTAATTACATTTCCATTAATTTTCAGAAAAAGAATGATACTTCTCTTTGATATCCACTTCCTAAACCACATGTCTCCAGAAACTCTATGAACTTTGATAAATGTCAGTAGTTTTAGAAAAGCTTGAGGCCTTTTGTTCATAGAGTCGCTGTGAGTCATTCTTGACTCGAAGGCAATCAACAACAATCATTGGTTTGTTGCTCTGATTTTGTTTCTTCTATCTTCCTTTCTTTTATTTCAGAGCCAAGCTATCAGGTGTATCTGAATGCCTCCAAGGTCCCCGAGTATGTGGATGACCCCACCGAGCTGGAATGCCGGGTAGTGGACATGAGGCGCTCAGAGGCAAACGTCCGTTTCACAGTCTCCTGGTACTACAGGATGAGCCGGCGCAGTGACGACGTGGTCAGCAGTGAGCTGATCGCCGTCATGCATGGGGACTGGACACTGAAGTACGGTGAGAGGAGCAAGCAGCGGGCCCAAAACGGAGAGCTTATATTTGCTAAGGAGCGTTTGGACACATTCAGTTTCCGGATCCAAAGGACTACAGAGGAGGACAGAGGCAATTATTACTGTGTTGTGTCTGCCTGGACCAAACAGCGGAATAATAGCTGGGTGAAGAGCAAGGATGTTTTCTCCAAACCTGTCAACATATTCTGGGTATCAGAAGGTAGGCATTTCATTCTTGTTCATCACTTTTTCCCCCCTTAAATCACTCTGCCGTGTGTTTTCACACACAGGTTACCATATTTATTGGAGTGCAAAAGTGGGTATGATAACTATTGCTCTTTTTATCAAGAGTAAAAGTCCCTTTAAATGGTGATGCTGAGAGAAAGGGAAGTAGAGTTTCTTGAATTCTAATGAGAAAACTAAGATTTATTCAGTGGTGGAGGGCTGTCTTACAGACCTTCTGAGAGGCTGTGCAATGACAGTGCACAGGGAGAACCACTGATCATCTTCCCATTTCAGTTAATTCCTATTGGGTGCAGCCACTTTGGGGATGCCACAGAGCCAGTGATATCCATAGAGCGGTTACCCCTTCCTCTAAATGACCCGGCATCCATTGGGTGAGACCTGTTTCTAGGGTGAGGTGAAGCTTCTGATCCTGCTCAGTACTCTGCCTGCCTGAGAGCACCAGGTAGCCCTCCTCAAGTCTCTGATCCTGTTCCTATTCATCCCCATGGAAAGCCTGGGCCTCCCAGGTTCTCCTTCATACCTTAAAGTTCAGCATCATGTTGCCTTTTGGCTTTTTGTCTCACTTCCACCCTTCGACATCCCCAAGCCCCAGACAAGGCTCTCTAGAACTGGGTGGTACAGTTAGCATACTTGCCTGTTAATCAGAGTTGAAGGTGAAAGTCTACCCAGAAAAGCCTCAGAAGAAAAGCCAGGTGATACTGTTTGGAAAAATCAGCTGATGAAAACCATTAAAAAAATCATTCTACTGTGACACATATAAGTCAAAGCCAACTTGACAGTAACTGTTTTTCTTCTAGTACTGAAGAGTACTGGATATCCTATGAACTGCCAAAAGAATAAACAGATATGTCTTGGAGAGGGTGGAACTAGGGTGCTCCTTTAAGACAAGGATGACAAAGCTTCACTTCACATACTTTGGACATATTGTTAAGAGATGCTATTCCTTACAGAGGGAAAGGTAGAGGGACAGCTTAAAACAAAAGAAAAAGAAGGAAAAAAGCCCCTCAACCAGATGAATTCACACAGTGACTGCAGCCAGTGGGCTTTAGTGTGTCAGAGATTGTGAGGATGGCACAGGATAGAACAGGGTTCAGATCTGTTGTTCATGGGTCACTCTGAGTCATACTCAACTCAGTGGTCCCTAACAACAATAAAGTTTTCTTATCTGAGTATGACTTCTGTCTTTTCCGATCACTCTGTAAAACTCCAGCAACTCTTCAGCCTGTAGTCCATCAATCCTACCACCTTACCTTGTCCTTTATTGCCAGTCTATCTCAGTTTCCTGGACTGACCATTTGCCCAGGGTAGTTCATTTTGTTGTCCTGGAATAATTAGTGCCAGAAGATAAGCAGTGTGGTTACCCTACTGTTATCTGGCCTACATCCCAACGAACTATACGATCCTGCCTTGCCCACACCCTTAACTTTATTGTTCTTCTCTTGCACATTGCGTTGACTGGCTAAACTATAACCCAGTTCACATCCAACTCTATGCCAAGTCCATACCTGCATCTGCAACACTGAATGTGGTTGGGGAAATTAGTCAGGCATGTTGAACTAGGTTCACTTTAATTCACAATGATGACCTCACTCAGGTGGGCCCTCTGCACTGCCTAGGAATCATTTTGCATTTCCTTAATCTATTTACTTGCCCCAAAATGATGATTTCATACCTTCTCTTTCTGCAAAGCTCAAACACCTCCTGTCTCTGTCTCCCTCTCAGCTGTTATCCTGCTTTCCATTTTTCTGAGAAAATAGAAGCAATCAGAAGAGAATTCTCATCCTGCCCAGCCACGAGACCTACATTAATCAACCTTATCTACTAACAAAAGCTAGGCCCTCCTGCTGCTCTGAAACATGGTTCCAACAATCCTCCCTTTCCTCACACATCGTCAGCACCTCTCTACTGGCTCTTCCCCATCAGCATGTAAACATGTTGTTACAGCTTCTATCTTTAAAAAAAAAGCTGAATTAATTTTGATCTGCTTTCCGTCTATCCCCCCCACTTACCTTACCTCCCATCACTCCTTTGATAGCTAACGTGTTTGACTTAACTATCTTTGATGTCTCCAGTCTCTCTCCTTCAATGCTAATATATCCTTTAATCAGGTTTTCACCTCTCTGTTCACGTTAAGATTGCCAGTGATCAACATTTGACTGAATCCAATTGTCTGTTCCCTCACTTGGCTCAGTGGGATTTAACACAGTTGATTATTCTCTTCTCCTGGATGTCTCTTGGCTTCCTGGCTTTGGGGACATCACCCTCTTCCAGGTATTCCTGCAGATTCAACAGCTGTTTCTTTTCAGCCCTCTGCTAGTTCCTCTTCATTTTTCTGGTCCTCAGACATTTCACTGCCTAAAAACTCAACCTTTGAACTCCTTTTGATCTATTCTAAGTTCATGAATTTAAATGCCACTTACACACCATTTCCAGTTGCCATCAAGTTGCTTCTGCCTCAGTTGGTTCTGGCTCATGGCCACCCCTTAAGTGTCAGATGAGAACTGTGCTACATGGGGTTGATTTTTGGCAGATTTTTAAAATTAGATCCTTTCTTCAGCTTCTCAGGTGCTTCTGAGTAGATAAGAACCATTGCTTTTTGTTGTGTAGCTTATCTGAACTTGAGAATCAATATTCTTTTGCCTTCTTACTACTTGTGCTTGTCTATTGAGTACCTCAACCTTCTGTTCAAAATGGATCCTTTTTCTGCCAAAACTCTTCTTTCTCAGCCCTCTCTAGCACAATTAATGGCTCATAGTTGCTCGAACTAAAATCTGTACAGGCATCCTTATTTGCAATTTAGCTGCTTTTTTTCCCACACACCACTGTACCAGGCCACCATCATCACTTACCTGGGTGACAACACTTGGCAGCTGGCTTTTGCCCTTGCCCACGGTGGCTAGAGCAGTCCTGTTAAAATGAAAGTCAAATCACAGAACTCTCACTTCATGCCTTCCAAGGTTCCCCGTCTTACTCAAAACAAGACCAAAATCCTTTCCTTGGTCTAAGATGCCCTAGGCAACTGACCCCTTTACCTTTTGGACCACATGTGTCTGCTCCACTGCAGCCATTCTGCATTCCACCTTTCCTCAAACACACCAGGTATGCAACATCCCTAGGGCTTTCACTTGCTATTCTCCTATCCAGAATACTTTCCCTCCAAGTGAATACAGGGTTTGCTCCATCAGATTTTTCACATATGTTGTTATTGTTATGTGCTGTCTAGTTGCTTGCGACTCATAGCGACCCTATGTACAACAGCCCTAAACTCTGCTCTGTCCTGTGCCAATCGCACTGTCTCTGACACTCCCATCCCGATTATCCCAGTCACTAAATCAATCCACCTCATAGAGGGTCTTCCCCTCCTGCGCTGTCCCTCCACCCTCCCAAGCATGATGTCCTTCTCCAAGGACCAGTCTCTCCTCACATGTCCAAAGTATGTTAGATGGAGCCTCAGAATCCTTGCCTCCAAGGAGCCACCCTGTTTAACCCTTTCCAGGACAAATCTGTTTGTTTTCCCAGCAGTCCGTGGTATTCTCAATACTCTTCTCCAGCACCACCGCTCAAAGGCATCAATTCTCCTTCTATCCTCCTTGGTCATTGTCCAACTCTCTAATGCATAACAAGTGATTATGAAGACCATGGCCTGTATCAGATGCACCTTAGTCTCCAGAGAGACACCATTGCTCTTCAGTACTTTGGAGAGGTCCCTAACAGCAGACTTTTCCATGGCAATGTGCCTTTTAATTTCTTGGCTGCTGGTGCCAAGACTGTTCTGGGAGTGAGATGAGGCCATCCATCAATTATTGTGATGACATCCCTTGTGTGCTTGTACACATATGCACACACATGTATTTCCTCTTTTCCTTCATTTTGTGTTGAACATCTGTCACCATCTAGCTATATATCATATATTTTCTTTATTTATCTTGCTCCATTTTCACTTAAATGTAGAAATTTCTATATTTTTTGTTCATTGTTATTTTCTCAGTGCCTAGCCTATGGAGTTCTTTCAATAAATACTTGTTTGCTCAGTGGGCAAAAGAGTCCCTGGGAGTCTCAAGACAGAATGTGAGGGACATGGTGGAACCTCAGGAATCCACTTGCTGATCGTGAAGAGACCGAACGATATATGTATCTTGTTAATAGATTTAGTGAAACGGAGCATTCAGGAAAACACAATGTAAAAAATCTCTTGACTAGAGATTATAGAAATAATCCTATAACTAGATTATTCTAGTTATTTTATTGACTGATAAGAATTTCATCCACTTAACAAGGATTAAAGTACCTTCCAAGTACCTGACATTGTTCCACTCCCTTTCACCCATTGTTATTGTTTTTATGTGTCATCAGGTTGCCTGTGACTCATAACAATCTTATGTACAATAGCTCTGAACGCTGCTCTATGCTCAGCCTGTCTCACTGACTCTGACACACCTAATCCCACTGCCCTAGTTACCATGTCACTAGAAATTAATTCTAATGTGAATATACTTAAGTGGGTTATTGGTGGTGGTGGGTTGGTTTGTTTTTTAACAGAGAAGTTGAAAATAACACACAAATGTTAATGGAACAATAGGTACTTCCTTAAAATAAAATAGCGTCTTTAGAATGAAAGTAAATGAAATGGAAATTATTAGATACGCGAATGAATATGCTTCAGTCATTGGAGTAATAAGTCTGGTCCTCAGTGTTAACATTTCATGATGAACAGAGAGCCTCTTTCCCCCTCACTCTGCTGTGCAGGCAGTATAGCTATGAGGACTTCCCCTACACCCAGCAGAACCTCAGAAGAGGAGAAGTGACTACATCACTAAGAACCCAGTCTGGCATGTTTAAGCATATCATTCTGATTCACTAAGAGTGAAATCTGCATAAGGAGCCCTGGTAAAATGTTGGTTAAGGCTTTGGCTGCTGACTGCGAGTTCTGTGGTTTGAACCTACCAGCCATCATACTTGAGGAGCAACATGTAGCAGTTTGCTTCCTTAAAGATGTACAGCTTCAGGGGCCTTCTAAGCAAGGGAGTTCTGCTCTGACCTATAAGGTCATTATTAGTTGGAATCAACTAGACCAATACGGATTTGGTTTTGGTTGGTAAAACCCCTCAAAAGATTTAAAAACCCTTACATCCAAATTCTCACCCATAGTGTCTCTTCTCTCTTTCACGACACAGCCTTTGCTTACTGACCACTGCTGCATCCAGTTGGTAGTTTTCAGCCTATTTACAGACACACAAGGTTGTTGTTTGTCTACATTTACAAATGTCATTAATAATTTTTGTGTGATTTCTTATATATCCATTGTAATCTCTAGTATTTTGCCTTTAAATGTGTTTATATTTTTAAACTAGTATTGTTGGAAATCACCTCTTTTCTGCTACTTCATTCCAGACTCTGTGCTTGTGGTGAAGGCAAGACAGCCAAAACCTTTCTTTGCTGCTGGAAATACATTTGAGATGACTTGCAAAGTGTCTTCCAAGAATATTAAGTCACCACGCTACTCTGTTCTCATCACTGCTGAGAAGCCTGTGGGAGACCTCTCCAGCCCCAATGAAACAAAGTACATCATCTCCCTGGACCAGGATTCCGTGGTTAAGCTGGAGAATTGGACAGATGCATCACGAGTGGACGGCGTTGTGCTGGAGAAGGTGCAGGAAGATGAATTTCGCTATCGAATGTACCAGACTCAAGTCTCAGATGCAGGGCTGTACCGCTGCATGGTGACAGCCTGGTCTCCTGTCGGGGACAGCCTGTGGCGAGAAGCAGCAACCAGTCTCTCCAATCCTATTGAAATAGACTTCCAGACCTCAGGTGAGTAAGGAGCCATGTTGAATTCTAGACTAAGGTAAAATATACACATAACATACAACTCATTCATTGAAAGTATTTAATTTAGTAACTTTAAATGAATTCATAGAGTGATGTAATGTTCACAGTAGTCAGTTTTTCATCTTCCAAAAAGAAGCCCTGTACCCCTTAGTCATTAGCTAAAACTCCTCATTTCCCCCCCGTTCCTTAGCTCTGACAAGTACTAATATACTTTCTGTGTCTATAGATTTACCTATTCTAGACATTCATACACATGGAACCATTCACTCTGTGGACCTTTATCTGTGTATAGCTTTGTTCACTCAGGTGGAAACCATGTTTAACTTCTTGAGTAACTAAACTGTTTTCCAAAAATGAGGTGTATGTCCTTTCTGCAATGCATGGGATCTAATTTCTCCATATACTCATATAGTTCATTATTGTCCTGACTTTTTACTATACCCAGCCTAGTAAGTATGAAGTTGTATCTTATTGCAGTATTGATTTATATGTATTTAATGTGTTATTTCCCTCAACTATATTGAGTACCTTTCCATGTGCTTATGGGGCTGCTTTTCCATTCAATGAAGATGAGTGGAGCAGCTGGATTCTACAAAGGTGTGTTTTCTGGTTTTTGCTTGAGACTTGGGTATGGCTATTGCTTGCAATTGACTGTGAGCAGATTGGATTTGGCGTCATATTTTAAAAAGCATTTGGCCACAAGTCCGGGGCTGCTTTCCTGTCTGGAAAGGTGAATGGAGTGGCCAGATTCTACAAAAGTGTGTTTTCTGGCTTTTGGTTGAAATTTGGGTGTGGCTGTTGCTCACAATTGGGTGTGAGTTGATTGATTTGGCTTTGTATTTAAAAAGGCATTTGGTCTCTTGGGACTCTGGCCCTTGGGCCTAGTTTTTATTGTTTTCAGTCAGACATTCTTCTAAATAGTATGGCGCTGGTCTGTCAATTTGCCATACAGAGGTTACTCATGGTTGCTGTGAGGGTAAACACAGTGACACTGATGTGTCTAATGCAGGAATGGTTACCCATGGTGGACAGTGTTTGGTGGAGCTCCCGAATTAAAAACAGGCATCCACTTCTGAAATAGTTTGCCTCTGGAAACTCTATGAACTTAGAGAAAAGATTAAAGTTATACATGTTCAAGACTTTAGTTCATAGGGTCACTATGAGTCATCTACAACTCAGCAGCACCTAACAACAACAAATCTTTTATGGAGAAATGTCTGTTCAAATCTTTTGCCCATTTTCATTGAATTATTAGTCTTTATTGTTTGGTTCAGAGTTCATCATGTGGTCTGAATATGAGTCCCTTCTGAGAAACATGATTTGAAAATATTTTCACTCATTCTATGAGTTCTTGTTAGTTTCTTAATTATAATTTTTGAGCACCCGAATTTAATTTGATGAATCCCATTAATTTGTTTTTCCTCTCTGTCACTTGTGTTTTAGTGTCAGATCAAAGTTACACATGCTGAATCCATTTTGAGGCTCTGTACCTATATAGTTTTAGCTGCTATATTTAAGTCTGTGATCAGTCTTGAGTTAATCATCATATATATCATGAACAAGGAATCCAACTTTTGCAAATAGATATTCAGTTATCCCAGCACCACTTGCTGAAAAGTCTTTCTGTCATTGAATGTATCTCAGCAATCTTTAAAAACATCATTTTACTTTAACTTAAGGATTTATTTTCACAATTTCAGTTCCGTTCCATTGAAGTCTATGGCTGTCCTATGGCAGTACCACAATGTCTTGGTTATTGTTATAATAAGTACTGAAATAAAAATGTATAAATCTTCAATATTGTTAAATTTGTCATAAGTGTTTTACTGTTAAATTAAAAATGGAATTATTTTCTATATTTTTAATTTTCATTGTTGTGATGTACCATTGAGTCAGAACCAACTCATAGCTGACCCTCCAGTGGGTTTGTAGGGGCAGTAATTAGCACCAGAGAAGACTGTCCATCTTTCTTCTGTGGAGCAGTTAATGAATTAGAACTGTGTGCCTTTGGATTGGCAGCACAATTTATTACCCTTTAAGACTCTGGTGGCTGAATGGTTAGCAGCTACACTTCAGTCCTAAAGGCACACAGTTCCAGTCCACCAACTGCTCTGTGGAAGAAGGGTGGGCAGTCTTCCCGTGTGATTTATTGCCTCTGAAAACCCCCTGAAGAGTCAGCTATGGATCAAGTCCAATGTGAAGGCACCAACAGCAACAAGAAGCCACCAGAGCCTCCTGTTAATAGGTAGTAAATGGAATTATATTTTTAATTGATTTTCTAGCCTGCAGTTTTGCTAACCATGTTTATTAGTTCTGTTTTTAAATTTTTTAAATATAGTTTTTATTACTGTTGAGAACATACACCAAAAATTAATACAGTAATTTTTATATGTGCAATTTAGTGGTATTGATTATTTTTACCCTCTTTCCAAATTATTCCTGTTCCTTTACCACAGTGTTTCCCTTCATTAGCATAGCCTCCCCTCCTCTGTCAGTGTGTTCTCTTGTGGTATGTGAGTTGCTGTGATACAGGAAGCTATGCCACTGGTTTGTCAAATACCAGTAGGGTTACACTTTGTGGACAGGTTTCAGTGAAGCTTTCAGTCTAAAACAGATTAAGGAGGACATTGTGATCTACTTTGGAAAAGAATGACTGGTGAAAACCTGATAATTAGCAATATTACATTGTCTCTGTATACACTATTATATTGTAGTGATCGAAGATGAGCACCTTGGTTGAAAGGCACATAAAATATGACTAGGAGAAAGCTGTCCCCTCCATATAAAGTTGACCTTAATGACGGGGATAGAGTGAAGCTTACAGTACCTTCTTTTGCTGCTATGAGTCAAGATAAGAAAAAGCATTAAACATTCCTTAATAGCCAGAATGTATGAATTATGAATCAAAAGAATATTAAAAGTCACAAAAATTAACTGAAACACATGAAGATCAATATGTTAGGCTTTACTGACCTGAAATAGGCTGGTATCAGCTTTTATTAATTGAGCAAGCATATGCCAGAAGTGACAGAGAAATAACATTAAATTAATATATAAAAAGATTATGTCATAATCTATTCTGAAGTACCTCAGAGAGCTGGACAAGGACTAGGGAGGACAGAATGAGAATTGATGCCTTTGAGCTGTGGTGTTGGAGAAAAGTATTGAATATATCATGATCTGCTAAGAAAAGGAACAGTTTATCCAAGAAACCAGGCTGCTCCTTGGAGGCAAGGATTCTGACGCTTCATCTGACATACTCTGGACATGTTGCAAGGGGGAACCAGTCCTTGGAGAAGAGCATCATGTTTGGGAAGGTAAAGGGACAACGCAGGAAAGGAAGACCCTCTATGAGGTTCAGCAACTGGGAAGATGGGGGTAGGTGTGTCAAAGACAGTGAGATTGGCACAGGAAAGAGCAGGGTTTAGGGCTGTTGTACATAGAGTCACTATGAATTGCAGGCGACTCAATGCCACATAAAAACAATAACAACACCACCCTGAAATATGCTTCAGAAATACAGTAATAGCCATATGCCTATGAATAAAAGCCAATAATATGACTTTTATTCATATTTATGCCAACAATGAGGATGTTGAAGATTTACACAAGTTTCTGTCACTAAAATTGATCAGACGTGTAATCACATTTGCTAATAACTACTGGTGATTGAATGCAAAAATTGTAAACAAAAAAGGATCAGTAGCTGGGAAATATAGCTTGGTAATAGAAACATCCCTAAGGTCACATGGTAGAATTTTGCAAGACCAATGCTTATTCATAGCAAATACCTTTTCCCGACAACATATAATGTATCTATACACATAGAACCTCAGTGGATGGAATATATAAGAATCAAATTGACTATAAAAGCACAATACCATCAGTCAGAAAAAGACCAGAGGCTGACTGCAGAACAGACAATCAATTCAAAGTGAAGAAAATTAAAACAAGTCTGTAAGAGCCAATATATGACCTTGAATATTTACTGCTTGAATTTTGAGACTATCTCAAGAGTGTATTTGATACTTTGAACACTAATGACCAAAGACATCATATATGGGGGGAAAGCCAGAATGGATGTCAGAGCAGATTCTGGAACTTGGTTTGGAACATAGAGTCAATGGGAAAAAACCAATGAAGTAAAAGAGCTGAACAGAAGATTTCATAGAAAGACTTCAGGAGACACAGCAAAACATTATAATGAAATGTACAAACACCACAATTTAGAACTCCAGAAGGGAAGAACACTCTAAGCATTCCTTACGCAGAGACAACAACTGATGGGGGTGCGGAGGGAAATGTCAAGTCTTGACTTGGAATATTGGAGGATTCAGTGGGCAGGATACTGGCTTATGACTACAGGAATTATCAAAAGAAGATCATTTGACTGCCATTGAATCAGAACCAGGGCATAGCTGACCCCCCCATTAGGCACCTAAGCTTGTAAACTGTGTTGTTCTCCTTCAGAGCCTCCAGTGGCTTTAGACTGCCAGAGAGGTTCCTTCTTTGGTTAGCTCCTTCCTGGGTTAACTCCCTACAGAGAATGCTACCAGTGTTCCTTTGAAAGAAGATAGAATGTATCAGAAAGAATTGGTGAACTTTCAGCATGTTTTGAAGTTTTTGATCAAGAACCCATCTTCCTGTAGGAATAAGCCCAAGCTATACTGAAGGTGAAAGGCAAATCTTCAGAAATTGATAGAATACCGATTGAAATGTTTCACCAGTGTTACTGCAACACTGAAAGCTCATCGATGCCAGAATATCTGGACGATGAATACCTGACCTACAGACTAGGAGAGATCAGTATTTCTTTCCATTGCAAAGAAAATGACCCAAAAGCATGTAGAAATTGTTGGGGGAAACATATCATTATCATACTCAGAATTTTGCTGAAGATTATTTAACACTTTTGAAGCAGTAGAAATTCAAGCTGGATTCAGAAGAAGACGTGGGATGCAAGATGTCATTGCTTTTGCCAG